CAGTGATATGGCGAGTGCATCTCGCCATCAAATAAGTGTGCTGCTAACCCCAATGAACTGTGGCGGGTCCCAATCCAATGTGAGAAAGACTGGTTAGCGTCGGGCAGATAGCCCACCGTAAAAACCAACGGTAAAAACAAATGTCATTAGTCAACTTACCTCTAGGAAAATTTTAGGTCGTTTTCCATGGATGTCGTACAGCAGTAAGTACCGGCGGTTGTGAGAAATTCGCAAAGAAATTGTTCCTTGCAATGAAGGCAATCACAGAGTGAGACACTGCTACACTGAAAATGACTGAGATGCGATAGCCACTTGGGACTTTTGAAACAATAACAGGTAAGGATATGCAGCGAGCGGAAGCTTTTCAGAGAAGAAAAATTCAGATCGCTTGTATTCGGGAAACAAAATGAAAAGGTAAAGTGCTGAAAGAAAAGGGAATAGGCTATAAGATCATTTACCTTTCAACATCAGGCAGAAGACATGGAGTTATACTGAATCAAGCGATCAGAGGCATGAGTACCGGGAAAGTTTGCTGACTGGAAAATTCACTGACCCGCAGTTCGTCGAATGGAATATTCACCGATTTTACAATTGATCGCCGATGATTTATTTTATAATGATCATAGAGCAGTGTTATTTAGAAATACCATATTTGGAAGGTTATGTTGTTGAGCAGAATAATAACCATAATATTGCTTAGTCACAAAAATAAACAGATTTTGCCTAATGCATTTATTTAGAACTAGCATATAAGAAAGGTTATGTTAATGAGCACAGTAATTACCATGATTAACCCCCATATAAAACCTCAGCAAATTCAAAGAGGTCAGTTTCAAAAAGATCTTCGAGTGTGATACTTCAGTTACGAATCTTCAATAACTGCCATGGCTCTTCAGTTCGTCACGACTGAAAAGGAAAGGCAGAAACTTTCATTGGACGGGCGCTTATTTGTCAAAGAAAAACATGCGTACATGACATTGGAAGTGTGAGATGTATCAGAAGCACAAGTGTAAGATTCGTGTAATAATAGTTGGAGATGCCACT